CTCTCTTGCTCGCTATCTCCCCCAAGCATCTCTTTCTCCCCACCTCTTCACCATCGCACATAGAAGACAAGAGTTTGATTACTGAGTAGGAAGAATAAATCTCTAGTACCTCCATCTTTTTACTCGGACATCCTATCCTTTAGACCGGGTAGGCCCTGAGTGATAGACAGGATCGAAGCAGAGTGCGGCTTCTAAATGGTCTAAATAGGGTCGATGGGGCCGTAAAACTTCTAAAAGTACAATTATTATAACCTATCTTTTTGATGCTTTACATGTTAATTTGAACTGGGCTGCAAAACTCTTTTTAAAACAACCATTCTCCTTTCTGTGGGCCAAGGTCGGGAAGGAAGTAAATCCTGTCTTAAAAGTCTAGCTACACAGTAAAGACAACTCCCATTTCAAGACTCCAAAGACAAAAAGTAGTTCAATCTTGCTCCTTAATTTCTTTTAAGCCGAAAAAAAGGTTGAAAAGTAAGTATAACGATCATTTTCGCTCTCCCTCATGGGTCACTCAAGTCTAATCATTGACAAATTTAACCACCACTTTTATGTTCATTATGGAGGAAGTATAGTTGGTGTTTCCAAATATGGTAAACGAGGTCTCCGTGGAAAAATGACTTCTCGTCGTTACCGCGGATATGACCTTCGTTTGCTTATTCGTCGTTTTTTTTTTGGTTTGTATCGTAGTATAACGTTTAAACATCAATCGCCGTGTTTTAATGTTGGTATTTTGCGACCCCGTCAACAGAATTTCGATCAGTTAGGAGGGAGGAGGGCTTCAACCCTGACTGTTAGTGCAACCAGGGCGAAGAGAGATACAACGTACCAGCATAAAGACAAAAGTACTAGATAGTGATAGAAATTCTCCCAACATGGGAATCAAAATAAAGTCTTCTACACAAGATGATTAAGTGCCTAACCACTACACTACAGATGGCAATAGTAGTAGAGTGAAGATATGACAATCTGCTTTATCCAAAGATATAATTCAACGAAACAAGAGCAAGGCTGCCTTAATTAGTTCGTTTTCATATTTTCTTGGGGAAAGTGTTTTAC